CGATGGTGCCATAGCAAAATACTTGTAAATCCTCGTATTTGGTATGTATTCAGAGCAATTAGCGGAAGACTGGGGTGGAAAGTCCAATGCGAAAAGCCATAGTCCAACGGACTGCGTTCTAGAAAGTAAAACGGTCTGATCGGGCCACCTCCGAATCCGTCTTTTGGAAGTTGGAATATTGCTAGCGTCGACGCCATCTGGAACTTTGGGGATATCCTCTGCGTTGCACTAGTATCGTGATACAGAATACAGTCCAGTTGCTCGATGAACTGTACGCCATAGCGATATTTGATCTTATCCCCTCTACGAAACTGGTGGGCCTCGTCACGAGCGGGCAGGCTGCTTTCCCACACGGATTTCAGGACACCATTCCAATGTAAAGACAAGAGGGCCGAATCCCATGAAGGCAAGAATGGCGTTGCTCCTTTCGGGTCTCCCTTATCGATGCGGTAGATAGTTCGCAAGATAGAGAACAGTTCCGGCTTGGTGGGGTGTACTGATATTGGGAATCGTAACTTTATCTTGTTGGTTGCCGCCATTTCTTCGAATTGTTGGGGAACCCGTAGAAAATGTACAACCTGGGTTTCGACTTCGACCGAGTCAATAGTCAATGTTACCTCATGCTGTACTTGGGGTTCGACCTCGTTGATGCTCCATATCTGATGCTGTGCCACCCACCCGGTACAATGATAGCATAGCGCGTACCAATGGCCCTGATGCCATGTTTTCTCAAATTCTCTACTTCTGTTAGCATGGCTCAACCATCGGAACATCTCGCTGGACCTACCTTGAGGGCCAAATACTGAGGACTCCAAGAAATTCGGAGGATGCTGAGCCAGATGAAACAGTGCACAGAGGGGTTTTCGCAAGATATGCCGAGCCCAGAGTCTTTGGCGCCAAGGAAGTATACTCGACGCCCCGGGTCTGCATCAGAAAGCGAGTCTTGGTGAAGGCGGTAACATCTAGCCAAATTTGCTCAGAGCTGCTACGTAAGCGCTCTCCCCACAGGTCGTCAAGCTCAGACATGTCCGCGGAGAAATCTCCTATGTCTTTTTGAAGACCCTGGGTCTGTCCCAAGCTTGGGCTGCTATTGAGCCCATCCGCCCAAGCTAATAGATGGGTTTTGTGGTACAGCATTGCACCTGGGTGCGGCTGTAGAAGGTAGAGGGCTTCTACCCAAACCATGATGGTAAGTTTGCTTTCAAGGAAGAGCTTGAAAATGCCACATGTCAGCTCCTGTCTGACTTTGAACATGTCGTAATTGCAGCAAGGTTTCCTGTGATCTGATGAAGAGTTCAAGTGTGCACTGAAGTATAGCACTGCATACTTCAGAAATGGGGTTTGGGACTGCACAATCTGCTTGTTTGGTTTTGTTTGAATGTTACCGGAGAGCGGTCGCGGGGGCATATGGCGTGTGAGATAAGTAAGACACTGCGCTGCAAGATCCGATTCTGCCTCTCTTTCACAAATGACGAAATACATCTCGCTGCTCAAGCCAGCGCTCGAAATGCTCGTGCTGGTCCGTAGGCGCGTAAGGAGGTATTCAGTAACCGAATGATGAGCAAAACAGTAAGAAGGCCGCTCGGTGGAAGTAAGCTCGACCAGGCTCGAACAAGCAATGATTATCGATTCCTTGAACTCTTCGAACCCTGCGGAGATATCATATGGTTCTGATTCCATGGAGATGACTTCTGCGTGTGTCGGGGTGGATGCCTCATATATGTACGAGGTATTGAGCACGTCATGTAGCTCTAGCGCATCTAAGGTGGTCTTCTGGAAGAGGAGCCACTTGAACACTCGTCTCGCGAGGTCCCGTTGGTAATCCGGAGCTCTTTGAAGGATATCGAAAACTCGATGATACATCTGATCAAGAGTTTCGGGATATCTCAAGTTCATGATATGTTGAAGTCGTACGCGAGGCGCGATGTGGGGAGGTGCCAACATCGGCGATTGCAGGTAAGTGAACAGAAGTCGTACCCATAGAAACATTCCATTGGCTCCTCTGGTCACCTGGGCGACAAGAATGCCTAGATCGACATCGCGAGGTAAGAGCCTCGCATCGACAAATTCTTTGATACGCGCATGGGAGTACGCTGCGATATCCTTACCCATCTTTAGGATTGATAGTGGCACAACCAGCGAGCGACCTGCTTCAGCGATTCGTCTGAGGCATTCCATACTGGGCCGGCTGAAAATCATGGTCCTCACATTGGCTTTCTGAAAGATTCCAAGAAGTCGAGAGATTTTGTCGTCAGGGTCATTACACTCGTCAAGTCCATCGAGAATAAATTGCCGACTTGAATTCATCCTGCATCCCAATGCCAGAAGGTCGTATATCACAGCCGGCGAGGCCCTCAATTGAGCGTGATCTTTGGAGAACATGGCAAAACTTGCCGCCTTAGCTAGCGGAGGTCCGCAGAGCCTGTCCTTTAACATCTGTGCCAAAAGGGCACGGCTACAGTCGTCGACGGATGCAAGTCCAGCATGGCCCGCTCTGAAGAAAAAGTACGAAACTCCTTTCTCTCGGTTTGGGCGTTCGGATTGTTGGAGCTTCTTAATGACCAGTCCAGCCAGTGTGGACTTGCCCATCCCGGGTTTGCCTTGAAATCCTTTTAGCATGGCACAGGAAAATTAACACCTACACACTCACCTTGGACCCACAACACATTTGTTGTATCTTTCGGGTTTGCCCAACGAGCGAAATCCCCCGTGTCCAAGAACCAGTGCCCAGTGCCGCCATGTCTCTCATGACACGACTTCTCGAGTTCCTGCATGAACTCCGGAGGGTTTACGAATTGAATGATATCACGTGTTGCGGATTCTGTATAACCATCAGCAGGTTGGTAGTCAGTCGTTGTTTGAATGGGACGGACAGTTTTCTTCTTACCATCGGAGAAACTGGACAACTTCGACTGGATATCTGCAAGAATGGTTCTATGGTTTTCCATATCTGCACTGAGTTTGACGAATGTTTGTTGATCTTGTGATCTCAATGTGTCCGACACCTGAGCCATCATTGACGTTTCGTTGAGCGCCGGGTCCTCTTGCAGTGCCGTTCTCAAGTCGTTCTTTCTCGCGCGATGTAGTGATCTGAGAGCAAGAACCAGAAGGTGGTACTGATTCAAAGCTGTTGCTAGCTCCACTGCTATTTCACCAGACCTTTTCTTCTCTTTGATCACGTGCAGCTTGGCCAACTGACTGGCCAGGTCATCGAGGTCTCCGGACACAAGCTCCCTGAGCGGATCATGGAACCAAGAGTCGTCATCTTCGTATGTTCCTTCTTCGTCCTCATCTACTTCCTCCTCGTCCTCTTCATCTACTTCCTCTTCCTCCTCCACTTGTTCATCTGTTTCCTCTTTTTGGCCTCTTCCTAGGAGTGTTTTGAGCTGCTCTTGATTCTGCTCGATTGTTTTACGCCACTCAATCGATGATGCAGAGTACTGTGATTGGAGCTTATAGGTCTGCTGTACTCTCGATAGGATCAGATACGCGGTCTCCTCAGCGACCACTTCCCGATGTTGTCGCATTCTGGAGACAATATTACCAAACTTTACGTCGAAGGGCTGCCATAACAGTGTCATGGCAATCAACCCTTTGGCTTTGGTTTCTTGGAGGGGTAATTAGCCCGTATGTCTTGTACAATCAAGCGTCACCAGACTTACTGCCATTTTTGCGGCGGAAGATCGACAGGACATCACGGAAGAATTCGAGCAAATCTTTGTAGAATCGAGCAACAGTTAATCGTAGCCTTTGCGTCAGATCCAAGTCTTTCTCGAGGCATAACAAATCCTCGAACCTTGGGAGGACAACAGTGAGCTCCTCAATGAGATTGGCTAGCTTCTGGAAAAAAGTAGTATAGTTGCTAGCGAGCTGTTGCGGTAAGTCTTCAGCTCTCGTCTCGTCGCGTGGTGGTGTGGAGAGTGGTACAACGTACCTGGAATATGAATCGTGCCACGCCCCAGATAATGGCTGCGACCTCAGGATGAGACGAAATGACCGTGTCAATGACTTGGAAGTAAACTTTGATAGAGTCGCTAAATGACGAGATCTTTTGGAAGATACGATCACTTTTGTCGCTACCAAATCCAGTAAGAAGCTGCTCAAGCGAATGAAGCAAATCTGCGCGGGTCACACTCGAGCCGAGTTGCTCAAAGGCAGCTTTTTCGTCGCGAGGAAGCCCGGCCAGAAATGACTCTCTGGCTTGTCGGAAGACTTGTTGCGTTTCATCCATGCTACAGGCACAGCTAAACAGAAAGCTACAAAATGCAGTGAGTTCCGCAGGGAATTGGGTGTGATATCTGGCAATCTTGCGTTTGGAAGCGGGGTCACAGCCTGATGTACTGCCACGGCCCACAATGAGGCTGTGCTGCTTCGTGTACTGTAACCATTGGGCTATGCTGTCTGTTATAAAGAAGCTTACATATTTTAATATATAAATTAATGCTTGTGTAACCATCTACACTATCGAGGAGGGTATGTATTGACAATTTGATATTATCCGGATTTCCAAGCTCAGCTAAGATTCTCTGAACTGATTGCATCTTCAGGGAAACAAGGCCTGGCTTTCACATACCGCTTGTATGCCATTGTCACCAGGCTGGAATCTCATCTTGGATCAGGATGCCGAGGGCGATCACGTGTTAAGCGCGCTCCATGCACTTTCCATGCTTATGGTCAAGGTGTCGAGGCTCACTAGTCGGCGGCTGATTCGAGTCCGTTAAGATCGAGTTGTATCCCTTTGAGAGAATTTCCACGAGCGACAAGTCATCTCGAGGGCTCCGTGATCAATGTGCCAGTACCAGAAATGAAGTAGCCTCCACTGCCGATCGGAGGCAGACCATGGATAACGGCGGACTGCTGGTGGGTAGCCCGTCTGTGTTCATTGTCTTGGACTGGAACTGATAGGTTGCAGTGGGCTACAACATCAAAGGCATCTGGGACGTGGTATGTCAGATACACCGACTACCAAAAAGTCTTGTAACTTTGACCGCAAAACCATATCCCAGATCCGGGATTCGAACCCGGGTCTTCCACCCCCGAAGGGCCAGGCTTCCGCCTGGTGACTCCAGATGTGCTAAACCACTACACCAATCTGGGTTTTCTTGTTGAGAATTAACCGTGTAATAAACCTTATAAACAGGCACTCAGGCTGGCCAGCTGTATCAAGTAGCTACAGAGGCTGTCAAGCCCTGTGAGTCATCCAGTGGTACCGGCCACGACACTGTCTCGTTCTTTCCGATTTTGGAAGACGTATTCAAGTTCATTTTCCGAGTGTCTATCGAGCCTGCCACCTAGCTGGCCTTCCCTGTCTGTCGATGTCGAGGTGTCCGATGCCATCAATACCGACAAATATGTTTGGTGCCCAAGGAAGACACCCGCATGTGAAGAGCCGCGACTGATTTGGCAAGCCGGCAATTGTTTCGAACTGTCACTACCTACATAGACATGACGTGCGCCACTTGACCAACAGCCACTTCGGCGGCGACAAGACGTGTGGTGCTCAGCTGTCTCGCGTGCGGGCCTTCTGTTTCGAGCCGCCTAATCAGCACTTGCTCCAGTGTTGGACGATATAGGCAAGAGAAAGATCCAAACAGTTGATTGCTGTTTTGTACTTGGCGCCGTGGAATTCCAAGCACTTTCGGATTCTTTGACCATGGCGTCAGAGTAGATGGTAGGCGTCTGGGCCGTAGACCTTTTCACCAGAGAAATTACACAAATCGACCCTATGTTGTAAATGTTACCATTGACGGACTAAGAGATAGAGCGGCTCTATATTTGGATAGGTGCAGGTGCACTTGAAGTCTCCTTGGAAACGCTGCACAGATTCAATTCGGGATTGCGATGGGTGGAACATGTTCAAAACAGAACTGCGCGGATACGAAAGAATACAACCAGCTGTAAGACAACTGCCTATGAACTTTCGAGCCAGATCGTAGACTCGATCCCCGTAGAGCCCAACGGACGCCTCGCCTTGACGCCAGGGTCATCGGACTTGATCGCTATGACAAGATCGGAGAATCCAACACCCCTCTCGTGCATTCGCTTGATGTCTGCTTCTGTCTCAGCAGCACGCACCACCACCGCGGAACGGCCTGGTCCCTGGGGCACGCCAATATCGAGGGTATGCGAGTTCTGTCCAGCGGCAGGCTCGAGCTTGGAGCCTAGAATCTTGGAATAAACGCTGGCGTATTCCGCCAGCAGGTACTTGGGCACGAGGATCTCGCAGGCTGCGATGCCAGTGGCGCCACAAGGGTGCGTCGTCTTGCTCTCATCCAAGCTCGGGACCCTGTCGGTTCGTGGCGTGATGTCGTGGCAGAAGAATGGGACATCGATTCTGCCGCCGGCAAAGAGCTCTTGACCGGGCGTCTTCTCGCCTGTAGAAAAGTCTGGCCTTGTCACTTTCCACTTAATCTCCACCCCATCGGCCTTCTTGCGCGATCCCGCGATCGGGCTGCCGAATTTGACGCCGAGCCCGGCATCTTTCTCGGGGCCCTTGGATAGTCGCTCGTTGACCAGCCCTACCGATTCCTCGGCGGAGCGCGTTGTATCGGTGATGGCAAAGTCAATCAATCCCGGGGCTTTGGGCCCCCAGAACCTCATCGGCAGGTTTTCATTGTCCAAAGACGGTGGCGTATTGTACCAGTTGAAGAATTCCAGGTAGCTGCCATCGGCGAAAATGACTAATTTATTGCGGGATGGCTGGCCCTCGTGGTAGCCTCCGGGGGTGACGGTAAAGTTGTCCGTGACCCAGCTGGGTAGGTTCTCAAAGAAAGGGGTATCTGCAAGGAGAACAATGTGATCTTGCTGTGTGGAAGTCATGGCGTAGGCTGCGTTTGTTTCCGTCTGATGATTGATCTATCAGAAAGTTTGGCGAGCGGCAATATTTAGGCGCAGCTTGCCACGCCCCACCGGAGATCCAACGCCCCGCATTCAGTATAATGCCCTGACTTACAGAGAGGACTTCTGTGAATGTTGAGCTGCGAAACTTTTGTTTCTTATGATACACAAATGTGCATAATAAATATACATGATCGCTTTTTTTTTTTTTTTTTTTCTCTCCCGGGTCGCTGAAACTTGAACAATACAGCGAGGTTGCGCCATCGCGTTTCGCTGGACATAACGACCAAAATGCACTCCAACTGCCACACATCACAAGGTTTTACATCTGCATTGGCACATCTTGGTGCCTAGATAAATTTCCTCGCACACGAATTTCTTTCCTCAAGTGACCTTGTAAAATCCTTCCCCTTCCTCTGACCTTTTTCCCCCTGGTTCTGTGAACCTTACCAGCTACGCAGCAACGAAAGTCGTCCACACAGCCTCCACGCGACCGAATCACTCATGGACTCATTGTATTTCGATTTATTCGAGCCAGAACGACCAGGCTCTTCCGACGAAACGGACAAAGACACTCAACCATGGTATGATAGGTGGAAAGTCCCCTGCGAAGATTGCAAGGAGCGGGGAGGAGGGCTCTGCTGGCGGTGCAATTTCGTGTACCGCAAGAGAGAAGAAGAAGGATGTCTCTTCTCACCCGAACTCGTCTCCAGTAATCTCGCCTTCAGGGATCTACTTTTCCGGCAAGCACGACACTTTCACAGCAGAGATAGCCCGGAGACGAGCGTGACGAGTATTGTTGATCGCAGATTCGACGATAAAATTCATCAACGGCACGATTCGATCACTTACCGAAGCGAGAATCTATGTTATGAATCCGTCGGGCATCGAATCTGGCCGGGAGACCTAGGAGACAGGGACTGTTTCGACCAAACGCACAAGAAATGCGAGGCCACAGGACCAGCCCAGCTCGCAAGGACACAGGCGCATCATTCCTCTCCAGCGAACACGCCATCTTCAAGGGCGCAACAAATCTGCATGGGCTGTCAATATCGCCATGGCTGTCCAGAAGATCTCGAACACTGTACAGAACACCGCCACTGGTGCTTTCCGATACACCGCGATGGCTGCCCAAGGGACTTCCCCAGCCGATCCTGCCACTCTTGCCCCGAATATCCCGGCAGGTGTCAGAGAGACTGCAGCTGTGATCACTTTTCCCCGGGCCATCGCGACGGGTACTCAAAGCACAGCCACTCTCATTACTGCCACCCCGATTCAAAGTTTCCCGGCATATATTCGAGGGATTGCTACTGCTCTGACTGTCGTACCAATGTGAAAAAGCCCGAAATTGATCCCCTCGAGGAAGCCTTTATCAATTGGCTGTCAAGAAGGAGCGAAGAACCACCACCACATATCATGAGCGATTGTTTTCGCTACAGCTTCAATTGGCACAAATCAATCAAACGACGCCCAAACCTCGTTCACTACGGAATTGGCCTTGGTGGCATGAGCGCTTTGTCATACGGGGTAGGATCTTGTAGTCCGCAACCATTACCACCGCATACACCGCTTAGAAGCCGAATATGGTCCATGGTATCGACGAGCATTGTGTGGGGATACGAAGAAGGAGCCAAGATACTCGGGTACGATGTAGAGCTCGGGAAGGCCCTGAGAGAGCTAGATTGAGCTAGACTGGTCTCGATACAGGAGCAGAATTATGTGATAAAACATTCTGACAAAACGAAGAAAGCACAATACTGCAACATGAAGCTAGGCCCTCACATCTTTGCACCGACTGATGATCAGGCTTATGGAAGGCGCTGTCTCTGCTGCAGCCTCCTCCCAGTACTCGACGTTGGCTGTTACACCACAAAGACGTAAAAACACTGTGCCACTCTATTGTTCATGTTTATCATGACTGTTGCTCGTCTCTTTCTCCTCCTCAAATCTTGTTGCCGTCTCAACTATCATCTCAACTATTCTCTCAACTATCATCTCAACTATCATTTCAACAATTGACTCCATCTCACCTTTCTACCTAATTTATCTTTTAATATCTTATCCATTATCTTTAATTATTATTGACAATATAGATCTGCTCTGCTCTCCTTTCCCCCGTCATGGGGCGGCTGTCGGTGAAAGAACCAGCGTACTCGGACTTGAGTCGTCTGCGCCGCCACCCAAGAGGAGTCGTCCGTCAGAATCTGAAGTATGCTACCTTGGTGGGTGACATGGATCCAAATGATCTCTTCCATCAATACGGCTGACCCCTGGCAATCTGAAGGAAACCCAGAAAGAGTCTCTGGGTTTAGCAGCCGTGGTCCGACCATCGAAAAGCGCGTCAAACCCGACGTAATTGCTCCAGGATCGATGACCCAGTCTACTCGGTCTAGAGAGCAAGAGCTCCTTCTCGATTGCCACGGGTCAATACGGAGTGGGTGCTGTCGGCACAATCATCTCTTGGTTCCTCATGAGTCGGTGTGGACGCCGAACCCTCTGTCTAGCCGGCCTAGGCACCCAGTTCATCATTCTACTGCTTACAGGCTGCCTAGGGATCCCGTCACCGACGACGGCCACCTCCTGGGCAGTCGCGTCCATGATGGTCATCTACACGTTCGTCTACGACATGACGGTCGGCCCAGTGTGCTACGCTCTTGTTCCCGAAATGCCCGCCAGCCGCCTGCGCACCCGGACCGTGGTCCTCGGCAGGAACCTGTACAATATGATCAACATTGTGATGAACATCATCATCCCTTATATGCTCAATCCCGGCGCCTGGAACTGGAAAGCCAAGTCCGGTTTTTTCCACGCGGGCCTGTGTGCGTCATGTTTTATCTGGACCTTTTTCCGACTGCCCGAGTCCAAGCGTACTATGCCAAATTGCACGCGTTATTCGCTCAAAAGGTCTCGGCAAGGAAATTTAGCAAGACACATGTAGAATTGTTCGGGTCTAGGAAACTTCTCTTTAGTGATGACAAAGGCTCTAGCAAAGTTGTGGCCAAGAAAGATGCTGGACATATGGAATACGTCGAGTAAACATTCCCTGGACTAGTCGTAATCACGCAAACAATTGATTATCCCAAGGTTTCATCTCTATAGCTACCTAGGTAGGTAAAAAATAGCCAAGAAGCTGTTTCGGACCTCTAACTAAACGTTCCAGAAAGGATAGTGGTTGAAGGCATGCTTTATTTATTGGCCACCGTATTGGCCCCAGTGACTGAGACATCACTTTGGCTGAGCGAATAGAAAGTTGGGAACTA